GGCAAAGCCCCTAACTAACTGCATTACATTTCTTAATTCTACCATATGCTTTCTTTCCCTGCAGAATATTGATAATTCTGTCATCTGGGTTCCTCTTATCTTTTTGATAAATGAGGCTATTGCCTTCCTAAGTCATTAAGGGATTTAACTTCTCCTTTACATTTGAAACACATATCTGATATACAAAATAATTATGAAGCCCTTCACTAGAAAACTATTTTGGTCAACAGCAGCTAAACTTAGGTTTGCAGTTTCCGATATCTTTTAAAATTACTCTCCAACAAGATTGCCTGCATTTCCTCCATCAGGGCCAAACATGTTTCCTTTTCAAGGTTAGTGTTGGCAGATTTTTGTTCATCTCTGGAGTGTTACAGGATGAAAAGAGGGGTTGTAAAATGATAGTTTGCCCATGAAAAATAGCTCAGCTTCTTCTGAAGGCACATTCTGCTATTGATCAGTCACCTTGCTCTCTATGAAAATGAATGACCATGATAAACAGAAGTGTGCTGTTGTATTCCTTATTAGAAGAGGATCCCAGCACAAGGTCCAGAAACAGACTCCAAAGGCATTGCAAGGCTGTCCCTCACCATGGTTTGGGGAGGGAGAGGGCAGGGCAGGACCTTCAACAGAACAGAGCAGATTCCACCATGCCTATTCCCAAGCATTCAGCTCCTGCCACCAGACAATGCCTCCTCACCTCTTACTCCTCTGTATTCCAGAAATGAAAGCAGAGACATTTCAGATGTGATTGCCTGTCCCAGTTGTTTCAACCCTTCATAAAGGAAAGAAATTCCTTTATTATAAAAGTTGACCACAAAAGGGTGGCTGCTCAGTATTTCTGATGGATGAAAACATCTGTCATTATATGACATTCAGGCAGCCTTTTTTCTTTTTCATAACATATGCAATATTAGGAATAATGAGTTTACCAAGGCTCCAAGTCCTATAAACACAAAGTGTTGATTTTTTTTAGAGCATTCTCAAATGCAGAACTACTTCAACAATAGAATTTTAATCCAAGGATTATGTATCAGTGTTTCTTCTGTAATTCTTTTTCTTCAAAGAAATAAAAATTTACTTTATCAAACTGCACAATCACAAGGAAAAATCTGGGAGCCTGACAGGCAGAAGCCATTCACTTTTCATGGTGCACTCTTCCTCACCATCTCAGTGCCAAAACATTTCTGCAGAGCTGTCACAGGGGAATTGAGGTAAAATCCCTAAGATTCATATTAGGCAAGAGTTAGGGTATCAGGTGACAGTTATTCTTAAGTCCTCCTAATGAGGTGATGAAGAATTTTGTTTTCAAACACAGTATTTCTGACTCCAAAACTTAACTTTTAAAGAATCTGATGGGTTTTAGACTTCATTTTAACATGTATTTCTAGATGTTTTAAGGTTCTTTTAAGGTAGCAACTACCTTTGAACATGTACCCAGCTCTCCTAACATGTAAGATGAGACAATTGTTCAGAAAATCTTGTCTTTTAGCTCACTGGAATTGGGATTTCACTCCAGGTTTTGACTTAACAAAATCAGGGATAGCATCCTAAGAGTGGATCCAGCACCTAGAAAGAGGACTTTTCTGCCCCTCTACTTTGCTCTCATGTGAACCCACCTGGAGCACTGCATCCAGCACAGGAAGAACAGGGACCTTTTGGAGCAAGTCCAGAGGAAAGCCACAAAGAAGCCTGGAACATTTCTCCTATGAAGACAGGCTGAGAGAGTTGGAGTTCCAGTAACTAAAGGGGCTACAGCAGAGCTGGAGAGGGAATTTTTACACAGGCTTGTAGTGATAGGACAAGCAGGAATGACTTTTTAAAGAGGGCAGATTTAGATCAGTTCCTAAGAAAAAAATCTTTACTGTGAGGGTGGTGAGGCACTGGCACAGGTTGCCCAGAGAAGCTTTGGATGGCCCAGCCCTGGAACTGTTCAAGGCCAGGTTCAATGGGGCTCTGAGCAGCCTGGTCTAGTGAAAGGTTCCCTGCTTGACAAGGGCTTGAAATGAGATGATCTTTAAGGTCCCTTCCAAACCAAACCATTCTATGATTCTGAAACTTTACAATATGGTTGATTTATTCAGTGAGACCAAGGAGACAGCCTTAGCAGGTTTTTGCATATTTCTCCTATAACGCACATGGACTTTGTTTGGGATTTTTTTTTTAAGTACAAGTAAATAGCAGTCCTAAACAATGCAGTATTACTTCATACTGTTAAACACCAGTTCAGGTACTATGTGTTTTGTTTTCTCCATTCTACTCTAGGCTGTTATGAAAACATAAACAAACTTAAAACATTTGTTGCTATTTGTGCTATGTATAGCTCTACTCAGCCCAGAGTCTTTTTCCCTTGTTCATTACTTCTATCTGGAACAGGGAAACTTTTCTTGAAGCAGTATTGTTTTTCATTTGGGAAAAAAAAAGAAGGCAAGAGAAAATGAAGTATTTAAAAGTCTCACATCTTACAGAGTACATAACACCCAGTTATAAATATGCTACAATCAGCACTCTACAAATTTTTATGCAGAAAGAAGCAAATGATGGTGGAATTCAGTTCGTGCTAAGAAAACAGGAATAGGACTTACAAGAATGCTTACATCTGTCCCTAATTTGCTTGCACATAAACCCACAGTAATCTGCTTTATTGCCAAAGTCATATAAAGAAATTGAGCACCAAGCAGCATAGGTAATCTTCAACTGGAGGCCCTCCAGCCTAATTAGACACAAATGCCCAGAAGGCCAGAGACTGAAATATGGCATGTAGATTTTGAAATATATGAAGAGACAGAACAGTCTCATTAGCAGCCATCCAGGCGTGTGCTTAAGCCTCTGAAGTTCCTTTTTTGACTGAGGGAAGGAGTAAGCCATGTCCATGCCCGAGGCTAAGCACAAGGAAAAGCATCCTGCTCCTTCTGGAAATGGCCCTGGTCTCCCAAGCCCCACCCCAGCACGCTCCTCCTGGCCTTTGTGCAACTCTTGGCAACTCCCTTTGTACAGACATACCCACAGTCAGCCAGCTGATTTAGTATCAATAATGCTGGAAAGCCAAAACATTATAAGTCATTGAAAAATAAGACAAAGAAGCAATTCTGTGGATAGTTTATAGAGATATTGGTTCGCTATTCACTATTTAGTAGATACATTTCTTAAAGAAAGTTAGTCATGGAGCTTTGCCAAAAGCCATTTTCAAAGTGATAATTTTCCTTATTTCAAACCACTAAATGCTTTTATTTTTATTGCATCAAACAATTATTGTTGGCTACTTTCTGACTACAATCTTGTCTCTTTTTGATTTCATATATGCATCTATTTTATAGAACAATGAAAAGCTATGAGTGAATTAAAGAAATAGAGGAGAAGTCCATGACAATTTTAAGGCAGAATGGCTGTGGCAGAAAAGGCTCTGTGCAGAAATGACCTCCATGTTGCAGATTTCAGGCACTTTCAGGGACTATCTATTTTCGGAACCATAATAGCTGCACTTAACTAACCAGAGGGTGTGATAGAAATGTTTTTATCAAGTTATCTCCATCTAAGTTATTTGAAGGAACAATGCAAGGCAACACATTATTTCCTTTTTCAATTGAATTTTTACATTATCAGGAAATATCACACCGGCCACAACACCATAAACAACTTTTGGTTTTAGTAAAGTAAAAAGAGCTTTGTGCTTATTTTCTTTTTCTGCAAACACAACACAAAGGAAACACATGGACACAGGGGCCCAGAAATCATGTGTGCAATAAAAAATTGTGGATAAAGCCTTCTGTTAATTGACATTCAAGGTCAATTTGTACCTTTGCTTGTGATACTGTTGTTGTATCAGTGCCTGAGATCACCTATCAGCACCATTTTCTTGATAAATTTTATGGGAAGAGTGAATGTCAACTAAGGTTGACATCTAACCTTAGTAGCAAGTACCTCTGAAGCATTACTATTACAAAACAAATAGGCAAATGTTAACTGGGGATAATTTTTTAAAGAACTTTTACTAAAGATTATTTTTAATGTTTTTTGCATTTGTAAAGGTCTTGTTTGGGATTTTTTTTAAAAGAATATGTAGCAGGATATTCACTGTTCTCTTTTGAGAGAACACTGTGCCTTAGGTTGGAGTTTCAAGGAAAGAAAATAAAGCAGTAGGAAGGGAGTTACTTGGCCGCAACGTGGCAAGCCTTACAGTCCATCCCATGGCTGCGTGACCTCACCCAGCAGCGCAAATCGGGGGATGCCCCTCGGGTAGGGGACCGCAGCCCGCCGAGGGAGCGGAGCCTTGGCCCGCGGGCCTGTCTGCCTCCGGGCGCAGACAGACAGACAGACAGACGAGCTCACCGCCCACGCAAGAGCCAGCTGTGCTCGGGACCGGCACAGAAACCCGTGCCCAGCCTGGTGCGTCTGTGCCCAGCTCGGGCAGCCGAGCTCAGGCGGCAGGATCAGCCCCGACGTACCGGGATCCTGCACAGAGCGCCGGGACGGAGCGCACGGGCCCGGCACCGCCACTGCCCCGCTGGCCCGAGGGGCACCAGCGAGGCCCAGCCCTCGCTAAGGACAAATGTAAACAAGAAGAAATAAAGGGGGAAGCGGGGAAGCCTTGGCTGGTTGAAGCGCATGAAAGGGCAGATGGCACCTGTGTGGGCCCGGGCCCAGGCTAGAGCCAAGCGGCCCCGAGGGCACACGCAGGGGCGGCTGTCTGGGACAGGGTGTGCAGACGTCCAGCCCAGCCAAACCAAGCCAAGCCAAGCGGAGGCCGTCGGCGAAGCCAAGCGCGGTGGCAAAGGCTGGGAAGGGAGATGCGCCGGGCAAGCAGGATGGCGGAGGGCAGTGAGGGGGAAGCCTGCGAGCCCCGGCCCCAGGGAAGCAGGGCTCAGCTCTGAGCTGAGGAGCTGCACCCTCCCCGAGGCAGGTGCGCCATGCACGGCCCGGGACAAGCCCCACTGCCTGACCCCGGGAGCTGCTCCGGGCGCCCTGCATCGCCCCGACCCCGCCACGGGCAGCACCCCCCTTACCTTCCGCTGCGGGCGGGGCCGCTGCTCGCCCGCTCCCCCGGCTGCTCCTGCCAGGGGCGGCGGGGCCGGCCCGGGGACCCCGCGGGGCAGGGGCGGCCGGCCCAGCCCAGCCTAGCCCGGCCCGGCCCGGCCCGGCCCAGCGGCGAGGCGCGCCCGGGGCCGGCGGCGGCGCGGAGCCGAGCGGGGAAACCCGGGCTCTCCCGGCTCCCCCGGCCGCCTGGCACCTGTTGCCAGGGAAACCCAGGTGTCTCCTCATCCGCGGCCATCCCCGGCGCAGCGGAGGGGGCGAGGGGCGCGGGGGCGGCGGCGCTTGCGGTGCGGGGGAGGCGGCGGAAATTTAACAAGCAGCTTTTTCTGCTGGGAGCGTGTCTTTGGGCGGGTTTCTCCCAGTTTTGGGCACGGTAAACCCGCTCGTCTGTTAAGCTAGGGCCTGTTTCAGAAAGAGTAATTGTGATTTGGGCAGGAATTGCCAGTCCCTGCGAGCCCAGAGAGGCTCCTGTCTCCTGGCCTTGTTATGCAGGACTCTGTGGAACAGGTGGACAAATCACGAGCAGATTTCCTTTGGCTTTCTGACAGTGGAGAGCGATGTCATTGACTGGTTCAGCAGCAGTTATCTGTAGCATAAGGGCATGCCAGTCTGGAGGAAAAGATCACAGAAATTATGCCACTCAAAAATTGCCTCCATTCCCTTCCTTGCAGTTGACAACTAATCAGTTCCAGGAATTTGAGGGAGGCTGTGTATTAAGGTACCTCTGCAGCTAGCTGGGCTTGCCAGCCCCCACTCACCCTTAGGGCTGACCCTTTGTGCCACTCCTGGCTCTCTCTGACTGAAAACTTGTCCTTTGCATCTTTCTTCTGCAACATAAAGGGCGGGTGTCTCCATTTGGATCCTTGTTCTTTATTTCCAACATCCTGTAGTAGTCTGCCCATAAACTAAAATACTGTCTTATAATAAAAGTAAAAATTAATTTGGCAATTTCTGATTGTATGTTCATTACAATTAATTTTCTTATAAGCACTTGAAATTAACTCTTCCTACCCAAGGAGAAGTTTGAAGTTGTTTTATGTATTTTCTGCTTCAAAAACCAAAAATGAAGCATGACTGTATATATTTTTGATATGTTAATAAGCAAGAAATGTATAGGATTTTATTCAATTTAATATATCAAGACCTGACAGACAGATGGATAGCCTCTGCACAGGCACTGGGCGCCCAGCAGTCGATGTTACAATCCCATATTCTTCTGCCAATAGTACTGGGGAGAATCTGATACTGGGCAATAGGTGTTTCTGCCCCATAGAACTTTTAATCCCATAAAAAATCACCAGGCTGTGGCTGGTTTTCCCTTATCCCAGGAAAATCACATCTGGTTTCAGCATGTATGCCCTCTCTCCCACATGGCTGGGCTAGAGTCTCTTCTGAAACTCCAAACCAATCCTACCATAACAAAAAACTGCTCGTGGAGGCAGTGCTGCTGTTGTCTTGTAAGGGAAGAAATGCGGTCAAATTGGAGAGAGAAGGATATTTTGTTTCCAGATACATCCTCCTGCAGCAGTTGCTATGGTTTTATACATTCTGAAGTTGTTTTGCCACATCAGCACTAAAAACTGTCATAAAACATCAAAGGAATCAGCTGAACAAGAGGCAACTCAGTACCTGTGCTGTGTGTTCACTTCAATTTCTGTGTCAAGATAGGCCACAGGTAGCAGTTTTCAGAGCCTATCAGATCTTCAGACCCCCTGCACATTGACCCACAAGGCAAGGTCCTCTACTTTTCCCTTGTTTGAGCAACACTAAAAGCTCTCTTGTGGATTAGAAGAACACATGCTATGTCTAGCATGTGCACTAATAAATGATCAGTAATTACTTCTTCCTCAGTTTTATGCATAATTATTTCACCTTTCTCACTGTCTTAGGTTGAAAGATTTAGCTGGGGGTGTGCGTTCTATTTGCCATCTGTTAATTGTGCAGTTTTCTTTATCTCTTCCACAAACCAATCCTCCCTCTGGGAAGTATCTTCTGTTACTGTGCCATTGAGCCTCACTGCATGACTGATAAAATTGCATCATCCATTGTGAGGTCTGCCCAGAGGGAGGGGCCAAGCATTCCTACCTGGATATAATCTGCGATTTGGATCCTCAGAGCAGCCTTTTCCCATTGGATTCCCAGAGAAGCAGCTGTCTTCTCCACTGGATTCCCAGACAAAGATCCGGCCTATCTACACCACCACCAGACCTTCAGAGGAAAACTCCACCCTTCTACAGGATCACTGCTCCAACAGAGCCACACCTGTCCCTGCAGGAGGGCTGCAGCCACCATTCCAATTGGACTGCTGCCAACCCCCTGACCAACAGTGTGTCAGGTCATATTCTGACTCTGTCAGTGCTTTGTTTTCTTTTTTTTTTTACTATTGCATTTGTATTTTTGATTTTCCTAGTAAAGACCTGCTATTCCTATTCCTGTATCTTTGCCTGAGAGCCCCTTAATTTAAAAATTATAATAATTCAGAAGGAGGGGGTTTACATTTTCCATTTCAAGGAAGGGTCCTGCCTTCCTTAGCAGACACCTGTCTTTCAAACCAAGACACACATGTACATTGAGAGATGAATCTTCAATTTATTAAATACCCCCAAGAACATTAAGTGCCTTTCAGTGAGCCTGGGGGCAGTTACAAACCATCCTTTTCAGGTCATTCAAGTTACTGAGCTTAAAAGGAGGAGCTTTATTTACTGTTGTGGCAATAACCTTTCCTGTATATAAGATTGCCTCTCTTCTGTCTCTTGTTATTTCTTGACAGACTTTTAAAAAATGCACACAGAGGGAAAAAAAAAACAAACTCAAAGTTTTCTCTCAGTTCAGTGAAACTCCAATGGATGCTGTTCATTTGCAGAAATACCTGGCATAGCTTAATTCTGAAGAATACAAAAAAAAGACTAACTTTTGAGATTTTTTTTCTGATGCTTTTTGGCTATGACTATTGTAAAGTTAATGAAACTTGTGTATGTGTAACGCCAGAGAAATGGTACATTTTTAAGGTCCCAGTTTGTCACCTTGCATGAACTCACAGTTCATGACATGAATAAGGTCAGGAGAAAAATGAAGATTAAAAGGGGTATGAAAAGAACTAATAGTAGTTTTTTAATATGCTGATTCTTTGTAGTGGTGTTCAGATGACAGCTGACCTTATGAAATCTAACAATAATAAAGATTTTTATCCACCATTTTGTCTCGCATAAAACAACAGCACCAACTCTGAAGTATTTTTAATCATACAACAACAGCACCAACTCTGAAGTATTTTTAATCAGGGTATTAATGATTAAGTATTTTTAATCATTTTTAACCAGCAGGACATCACAAGATTTAGATATTTTGGTCTTTTGTCACATGCATTCTTTCATTTTCCTTGTACAAGAAGGATTCAATTAACTAAGTCACAGCAAAAAAAAACATGCAGAAATTTATCAGAAGGGTTATATGCAAAAACTATGTGCTACCTCACTGGAAACCAATGGCACCAGTCCAGTAACTAACATATGCTATGGCAACGGTGACACCACATGGGAGTGATGGGCTGGGCTGCAGGGTGAAAGGAAGTGCTAAGCAGAGTACACAGTAGACGGAGGGAGCTATTCCAGGTTTATATTCCCAGTGCTATTTTTAAGTTTCTAGATTAAATCTGATCTCGATGCAGCCCTTCTTTCCACACATTTGGGAGTCAGTGCAGTGCATGCACATGGAAAATACTTTCCAGTTACAGCATGAACAAGCTGAGCAGGAGGGACTCACTGCAAGATTACCATCCAAATCGCCATCTGCCCAAGGGAAGGGACAGCATGTAGTTGCACTATTCCTGGAGCAAAGAAAGGACCAGGTAGTTACCAAGTCTTCCTTGCTCTCTGCAGAAAGTTGCTACAGCCAGCCTCAAGAGGTTTGTTCCTGCGCTGGCTTGTTCATGCTGCCAGTGGCTTTAGCAAAGGCACAAGGCAAAGTTTTTTGTCCCTGTGTTACTGTGTCAAAGTTTCTTTACTGCAAGTCCACAGATTTTGGAGTGTGGAGGAGAGAAACAACAACAACAAAACAGGACTAAAAATGAGGTACCCTGAAACAGGAAAAAGAGAAGGTAGGATGAGAATATACTTCTCCTCTTACACCTATGGCTTTGTCCTAGCCTACATCTTCTGAGGACATTCACAGGCCACCCCTATTTTTTACTGTTTACCATGACACAGTTCCTTCAAGTAACAGAGTACTTAGGATAAATGTCGGACATGAGTTATGGAAAAAGTAGTCTGAACACCTATTCTTTACATAAACAAAGGCTTTTGTAAAAATTATTTGGCCACTTTACCAAGAGTTATTTGGATTGGACCATCAAAAAAGAGGAAACTTCTGCAGCCTATTTTCTGGAATGAATGATCTGTCTCCAAAGAGCAGTTCACAGAGCAAGCCCCTAAGACTGCAAAAGGGAAAGGCTGTTTAGTTACTCAGTATAATCTCTACCATAAGCTCTATCTTATCCCACAGGTGTAAAATAACAACATCTGATCTGAAACCATCCATAGAGCTGCTAAGTAAACATATAAAAACCTTAAAGTATAACTAAAACTGCTGCCAATTGTTAGCTGTTGTCAGTGGAAATGAAGGTGTAGGAAAAGTCAAGAAAAGGTCATTTAATTCCTCACTTGCCTCCTGGCTCTCAGCTGCTTTCACTCCAGAAGTGGTCAGGCCCCAGAAGCTGTTCAGTTTCTTACCATGTTAAGAAGCTGCCCTAAAAGGCATAGACAGATAGCTTATTCCAGAGAAGCCCCTTCCTCTCCAACATGTCCATGACACTCCCTAGCTTTCATGGGGGCATAGAGAACTGCTCCTGCAGACCCACCCAGATCAGCAGGATTCCACTTTGCCATGGCACAGAAAGCGGGGAGCAGCCAGTTCCACCAGCAATGTCCCCATTCCCTGCTGTCAGAGAAGCATGAAGAGCTCACAGGGAAGCTGAGCACTGGGTCTGACATTTATAAACTAAGAGCAAGGATAGCTGCAATGTCTACAAGCATAGAACTTTCATTCACAGCTTCCAAATGTTCTGC